GGTTAGAGAGATGGGACGAGATTACTAGAATATACAAAGTTTTACTAGGTCATGACTAGTGGGTGGTTCATTAAACCTTATCGCTATAAAGAAAAACTACTCACACAAGTCACGTATCTTGTGCAGGGGGTGTGGTTGTGGGTGGAGTCAAAGATGACGTACATTGAATAGGTTGATATGGGAGGAGTACCAGCAACACTGGTTAATATTGTGTCAAGACGTCAGCCATTTGCAGTTGCATATTTACGTGATTATTTAGAAACAACTAGTTTAAATTGAAATAGAAATGGAAGAGAGAGTAGACCCAGTTTATTATCAGGTACTGATTCACCTAGTGATCTAACTATGATGTATAAAACATATGTATAATGTATTATGGAGTTATTGGCATACCGTATAGCTAGAAAATTTGGAGTGCCAAAATTTGGCGAATGGACCTCAATTCGCCAAAGTTTTATTGACATTTAGAGAGTTTTAAATGAGGTTAACGCCCACAAGGTCTGCGCATGCGTAGTAGTTGAGCGATCTGAGAGCAAGAAGAGTCTGCTTCGAACTTGGGACTTCAATAATTTTGATTTGCGCTATTCAAGTTCTCGCTTGTCTCGTGAGGAAACTCGAGAGTTACGAGATGTTGGACAGAGAAGGAACTGATGGGACCGGTCCCGGAGACGCGACTCGTTCCACGGGAGGGACTTGGCCCGGAGAGGGGACTGGTTCCGGAGCTGGGACTAGTGGCAGCGGGGGAACTCCCCTCGGGCCGTCAGGGACCACAAGTACTGGCGGGCCCCCGGCAGTACCAATGGAGCTGATCGCTTCAATGATCTCTCGCGCCGTGCGGGAGGGCTTGGGAGGCCCACCTCCTACGACCACTCCTGGGGGGATTACGCCGATTCCCAGTACCATTCCAACTTCAGCTGCCGGGGGTTTGCACGCTGGTGTGGTGACGGCGGGCTTGGGGGGGGGGAATCTATCGTTCCTGTTGCTACGTCAGGTGAGCTGAGGGAGCAAGTGGGGGAGTACGGGAGTAGGGAATGAGAGATCTGAGTGTCAGCTATACCAGTGTCGCCCAGCAAGTCAGAACACCACCGTAACATCAGTTATCTTATTGAGACAGCGGCATCATGGCCTCAGAGTCTCGAAATATCAAAACAAACAGATAAAAATTTTAAATTTTAAAAGAGATAATAATGTTAACTTAAAATTTTAATAATAATAATTAATGGAAAATATTGATAATAATAAAATCAAATAAATAAATTAACTAATTAGATACATGTCAAACAAGGACAGCGGCCAGTTTGTGGTCCCAGCGTCCATTGTATGTGGGTGTAGCACCAGGTACAGAACACCCAGTTTTCTTTTAACAGTCGTCTCCTTATTTAGGGAGTATTGATCTGTCAACCCCTCTATTCAGCACGCCTGCTACTCTCAGTGGGTCAGCAGTACACAGCCAAGAATTTTTTTCTGTATCAGTTAAGATATCAGTTATGTATCAGATACCGTATATCTTTAAGATACACCAACTTTTGGCAATTACAGTATCATCACCGTAGCTACGGGATAGCTACATTCTGTAAATCTTCCTGTATCACTCCGTATACGGGAGTGATTCATGACTGAACTCATTATATATTCATTATTATGAACTCATTAT